AATGAATATTCCTTCTACAGCATTTATTAATAACTTTAATTTCAGCATTCGCTAATGCATTATTCAAATAACAAGTTGTGTTTGTTAACATTAATGCACTGTGAACTAACATGAACTAACAATGAATGAACAACTGTATTTTTATTAAATAATGTTAACAAAGACAAAAATAAATGGTGTAATAGATATATTGTTAATTGTTTGTTCATGTTAGCTAATACATTAACTAATGTTAACAAATGACACCTTATTGTAAAGTGTTACCGACTCTTTTTATGAGGTTAGAAATAGGGCTGAAAGATGAATCGTATTTTCATTGTCATTGCACTATGAACATGTTATTTAGCAATGGGCACCGAAACGTGCTATGAAATAGCAGAGTTGGTGGATTTAGGCGCCAGAGTGCAGAATTCAGCACTCAACAAAACTCTGGCGTTTCAGCGATGACTCATCTGAACGCCTTTGATTTAACCGCTGTAAAAACAAACAAAATTTTTTTTAGTTTTATTTGTTGGCCCTAATATGCACAGTTAATTATTCATTTATTTATCACAAGTAATCATCATTGCAAAAAAAAAAAAAAACTCCACTGTTATCACACATAGCAGAATTTCCTCATATCGTGCAGGACTATTAGAAAATCAATGTAAATCAGTGGATATGTCTGCTATAATAGGATAGGTATGGCGGCAATTCTATGCCATTAATAACCGAGCGCACCACTGATGCTGGCGCGCGCGGTAAATCAATTCCGCGAGAGGAAAACAGATTTACACGCAAGGAAACGGGAGCCCGCGAGCTCATTTCAAACCCTCGCGCGCGCGTGACGTCCTCTGTGCGCAATATAAGCCCTCGCGCGCGCATGATCATTCCCCACATCCTCGCGCTTGATCTTCCCTCACGCGCGAACACTTTTATTTTTGTCAGTCGTGGGGCGGAGCTTGCGGTTTTAACTGTAACCTCAAATGTCATTGGTTATTTCTCTTTTCCGGAAGTCAGTTTGGACGCGTTATAAGATGATTTATAATTCTCTTGACTTAAAACATGGCATCAGTGGACCAGATACATGTGAGTTATCGTTTCATTTGCTTGTTTTATTTATTTATTTTGTCTTTATTTAATGTAATTTAATGCATTGTTCATAGAGTAGATCTTTTTCAGATACTTTATTAATAGGAAGTCTTCTGTTTATTAGTGATTGCAGTCTTCTGATGATAAGAGATACACATATGAACCCTTTTTAAAGACTGTAATGATGCACGCACACACACACAGGCTATATATAAAGCTATAGGAATGACAGTAAAGTTTTCAAAATGTGTTTTATATTTAATCTTGTAAATACAACATCGTAATATTTGAAGGTTTCTTTAGTCTGTGTTCCTATAAAACAGGTTTCACCATGTATGCATTTGATTTACAGTGTTACTAGTCATCTGCTATCAAAACCCGTCTATTCACGATGATGTATACGAACATTTATTCCTGTTTATGGAAAAGAAGCTTGTAATACATTCAGTTCCAATGTATTTATTTATGTTCTTTTTATTCTTCTTTTTTCCTTTGTATTTGCAGCCCAAATCATCACTGACTGTGGAAACTTCACACTGGACTTCAAGCAACATGGTTTCTGTGCCTCTCCACTCTTCCTCCAGACTCTGGGACTATATATACATACAGACATTTATTTATTATATAAATATATTTAATATAAAAACATAAAATATTTTTCTTAAATATATACATGCATGTGTGCATATTTATATATACATAATAAATATTTACAGTACACACATGTATATTATATTTTTGTTATGGACAATTTATTGTTTTCATTTTACTGTCATTGTCACAGAAATCTAATTTTAGTGCAACATTTGCATGTAGATAAAAAAAAAAACACAAGGGGCCGCGGGTTGTTTTTTTTTGTGGGCAAGCCCACAGTGGGTTCATCCTCATAGGGCCCCAAATGACCAAACTGCTATGGGCCCCGCATGGGCTAACCCACAGGGGGCCCCGAGTGGGTTTCGTGTGGGCAAGCCCACAGAAAACCATCATGGGGGCCCAAAAGGGCAAAGTTAATGCATAACCATTGGACAACAAAATGCTCAGTGGGTCAGCAGGGTCAGTCAAAAACATTTGGAGAAGAAAAGATGCATGTTAACTGCAAAAGAATTAGGAATTAAGGTGAAGAATTGGGTGTGAAATAACCAGGAACCATTTAGTCTCCAGCGCCACCATTTTCCAGAACTGCAACCTACCTGGAGTCTCCAGAAGTACAAGGTGTCAGGTTCTCAGAGACTTAGGTTAAGTATAGAATCAGAAAATGACCCCTACTTAATAAGAATCACATACTGAAGTGCAGTAAAATAGTTTTTATAGGCTTTGTAGACAGATAAGTTGAGAGTGACTCTTGAAGGACCAGTACCACATCCTCTTGTACCACTGTTTGAAGAATTTATCTTCCAGAATCTGGCAGTAAGTTTTGGGAGTTAATTTTTAGTCCATTTCGAGATTTTTCTGTAGAAGATAACCTGCTTAATAATTATGCACACCTGAATATAAGGCGTTTTTCACTTCCATCCTTCATGAACAATAATATATAGGTTATAAGTGATTAAATACAAGATTAATAGCATTAATATTAATAGTTGTTAAGATTGATGTTATTTGGAATTGGTAAAATGTGCTTGGAAAAAAATATAATCAGAATATCAACTTGCATAATTATGCATGCACTGTACAGTATTTTCCCTCTTCCGCTGTCATCAGCAATGCAAGGAATGTTGTGATTGGTTGTCAAGGCAGCCAATCAGAATTTAGCAGCCTTCCGCTGTCATCAGCAATGCAAGGAATGTTGTGATTGGTTGTCAAGGCAGCCAATCAGAATTTACCAGCCTTATCTCTGATTGGCCGGAATTATGGCATTTTGTAAGGCTGGGTTGTGTTGAGCAAGCAAGTCGTTGGCATTTAGAGAGCACTGAGGGCAGGCATCAGGTGGAGATGGTCCTCACTGCAGAACACAAGATCCAGGGGGCGAGGTTGGATCCAGATCCAACTCCTCCCACCTTACATATACCTAAACCTACCCGTCTCCACCCCCTGATCCCTAAACCCACCCATCGCCACCCCTAGACCTACCCATCTTCACCCCTAAACCTACCATTTCCACCCCCTATATGTGGATCCAACCCCGCCCCCTGGATCTTTGTTCTGCAGTGAGGGGCTACTGATCAGGTGAGCAAGCTAGTGAAACGTTGCACGCGCAAAAGAGAAGGACTGCACACATCCAAAAACTTATTTGAAATGCAAACTTCATTTTAGTGCACTCGAAATACTTTTTTCTTTGCGAAACGAACATTTTCTCCACAAAACTCAGATCGTGCGCGTGCAAAATGCACTTTTGTAGCGCTCAAATATGATCTTTCACACGCAGAATTGTGGCAAGAGATCTAATGCTATAGGTAAGAGCCATTCCGTAATTGATATGGCAGTGCGTTTGCAGAAACTTGCCGATTTAAAAGGGATGCCCGATCATAAGTCAGTACCAGTGAGGCACAACGCAGCGGCTGACAGATAAAATGATTTAGTTGATAAGATCAAATAAACAAACACAAACAGCACATGGAGCGGCAGACGGCAAGCCACACACATTGGTGCCATCTTCTCAATATATATCAATGTGACTTTGCTGCAGCCTGGAACTGAACTGCTGGTTTCGTCTGGCCCGAGGAGAACTGCCCCGTTTTTGATTTTGGCCAATGGTTATGAAAACATGAATGTTCCTTTTGGGTGCGCTGTCGCCCTTTCTATGTAACATCCAAATCAGTCAAATCATGTAACGTGACATGTAATATACAGTCTCCTGCCATTCTTGCTCGATACTAAAAAATTTGTTACATTTGCACTGTTTGCACAGAAGAGACACTGTTTCCTAAGCACTTTCCGTGTGTGCAATTCAAGATGGACTGAAACACGGTCAAATATTGGCTACTTTGCACTTTGTATATGTCAAAATATCCTTCTTGGGGAGTTTTCACTAAACACAGTCAGTTATGTCTTTAGTGAAAATAAAGCAGTTATGTCTTTAGTTTGAAAAGTAATCCAACGCTAGTCAGTATCTGTGCATTCCGTGACAGCACCCTACTATATAAACCTGCTGCTGTCTGTCATCATCTGTTAATCAAACAACAAAAGAAAATGAGAGAATTATTCACTGCTCTTCATTGAATATTTTATAACTTTGTTATGAATCAATTTTTGCAATTTTTTACATTTGATTAATCCATTTCTGTATAGTAGGCTAGTATTGGCTAAATTGTTAAATTGTTAAAATAGTTTTTTATGAATAATTTATATTGTTGTATGCATTTACTATGGAGTAGCAATTTGACGATTTGTTCAATTAGTAAATTATTGTTCTGATCTGTCATATATATATATATATATATATATATATATATATATATATATATATATATACAGTATATATATATTAGGGGTTAAAAGGATAAAAGTTGATCTGTGATATGTATGGACCAGGCCCCACAGTTTGGCACCTATGTGATTTGCAAAATAATTTGCCAATTTACAAGTTCAAGCAATTTTAAACCACAAGAAGAAGAAGCGAATGAGAACTTCATTGGTTACTCACATGCTGTTTTTGGTGTGCACAGCAGCCACACACACCTGAAGTGCGCACAATCACAAAGACATGTTTCAGACAGCACGCGGATAGCGAGTTGATTCCTCTTTCACGTCTCCTTGCGCCTCCATGTCTCCATAATTTTATACACATAAAATTGTCAAAAAAACCTTGTCGGCATTCTCATTCTCTGTGCTTAAAATATATAAACCTGTGCTTAAATACATAACCTGAAAAATCATCCGATCAGTGACTCAAAAACCACAATATGATCTGTTAAACCACTAATATGTATATATAAACCCCACCCCACCCCCCTCCAGCCGGTCCGTGACAATATTTTCAAAATATAACTGGTCTGTGGTGTAAAAAAGGTTGGAGAACCCTGACCTAGTGAACTGAAATAAAACGTAAATCTAAAAGCCTAAATCTAAAGTGACCTGTTAAAAAAAAGAATATAATTTAAATCAGTCCCCACTGACCTATGAAAGGAATGGCAGCCAGGGAGTCCTGATCCACAGGCAAGGGTGGTATGCCACCATTAGTCTGGTGCAATGAATCTTTTGACCTTGAGGGAATGGCTGTGGCTGAAAGGGGTTCAGGAGTATCCACAGGTAAAGCATAGTTGGGGTGTAGCAACCCATGAGTAGTTTTTCTGCCTAGGGGGGGCTTTTGTCGAAACACCACCTCCTGACTCTTAACTTGAACACTCTCCTTACCAAACCCACCAATCACTGAGCCTGCTGCAGCTGAGTCTTGAAGCACTGCTGCGGGGGTATTGGTGGAGGATGCACTCTGCAGTGGGTCAGTTTTCAGAATTGGAAGGGTGTTGGAAGTGTCACTGAAGGAGTGAGACTGTTGCATAAGATGGCTGGCCTTTTGGCAGAAGGAGGTGCTGTAGCTGCAATAGCCCACTGTCTGATCATCTACAACTTGTGCAGGTAAACATTTTATCTGAGCAGCTGGCTGCTGGGCTTGGCTTAAGCTCCAATCTGAGGGTGCCACCATTGTAGCAACAGCCTCATGATGGGCAAGACTTGGGCACTCCTCAACCCTGGATGGCTGATTCCTTTGATGAGGCCACGCTGGTCTTTTGTAATGGGGCAAGATCGGAACAGATGCCTTTTCTAAGGTCTCTAGCAAACAGCTGTAATTCTGCTCATCGGAAGCATATGCAGACAGCAGGTTCTCTAAACAGGAATGGCTAGAGGTTTGACCCCACCTACCTAGCTTCCCTAGGGAGTGGTTGGCCCCTGTCGTTGCACTGTAGTGGTGCAGAAGGGTGTCCTGAGAGGGGCTGTGTGACCATCCACCACAAGGCCCTCGCAGTGCCAGTCCCAGCTCACACAGCTGGTCATGAGAGATGCTATGTTGGTGATGATAGATTCCAAGGCCTGGTCGCTCTGCTTGGCTGTAGTACCAATTTGACAGAGCCTGGTGACACAGTTCACTGCGAGCTTGGGGAAGACTGCCTTTCCTAGGATGGGGGAGTGAGGCGGAGACAATAGCTGCATTGTGGTTAGCAAAGTGGTAGTCCAGCGGGCTCATTGTTATCCCTGCTGAGGATGAGGTGTGGACGCACTGGTGAGTCAGGTGGTGATGGGCACGCTGAAACCCGACAATGATCCCAGAACTATCTGCTCCAGAGCATTTGTCCAGAGCGGGGTTGGGCTTACAGCTGAGGTTGTCAGGAAGACCAAGGTTCTGGGTAGTGGAGGTGGGTTTGCTGCTTGGATAACAGACCAGAAGTTCAGGAAGGTTTTGGGCTTCTCCAGTGTATAGCTCATTCCCTCTCAGATAGGCATCTTGAAAATATGCCTGTAAGAGATGGAGAAAGAACGTTTACTGTGAATGGGGATGTACCCTTGAATGAAAGGCAAGAAGACAAAATCATGGGGAAATAGAATTAAAAGACAGGCTCAGGTAACCACAAAAACTGGGAGTAATGATATATTAAATGAACTACAATTCATTTTTCCCCCAAGAAGTTTTAAGAAGAAGTCAGAAGTCAGAAAGAGCTCTATTGCCAAGTATGTTTGCACATAAAATGAATTTGTTTTGGTGACAGAAGCTTCCAGTACACAGAGACAACAACAACAACAGAGATAATAAAAAATAAATAAAGATATGCATAAAATACACACATGTATGTACATAAACAAAAATAGACAAAAATTGTATGTACAGGTGTGCTATAGATGGAATACAATACAATAAGATGTAGGGATGGACTAAGATGTAGGGTGGTATCAAATAAATATAAGTGTATTGCTCATATTTTTTTATTGCACAATAGGGAGAGTGTTTAACTGTTCATGAGGTTGCCTGGGGGAAGAAACTTTTCTTGTGCCTGGCTGTCCTGGTGTTCGGTGTTCGGTGCTCTGTAGCGCCAACCAAATGGCAAAAGTTCGGAAAGTCCCCTATATATACATATACTGTATATACAGTGGTGTGAAAAAGTGTTGGCCCCCTTCCTGTTTTTTTTATTTTTTTGCATATTTGTCACACTTAAAAGATTCAGATCATCAAACTAATTTTAATATTACACAAAGATAATGCAAGTAAATACAAAATGCAGTTTTGAAATTATTATTTATTTTCTTAAGGGAAAAAAGCTGTCCAAACCTGCCTGGCCCTACGTGAAAAAGTAATTGCCCCCTAAATCTAATAACTGGTTGTGCCACCCTTTGCAGCAACAACTGCAATCAAGTGTTTGCGATAACTGGCAATGAGTCTTTCACCTCGCTGTAGAGGAATTTTGGCCCACTCTTCTTTGCAGAATTGTTTTAATTCAGCCACATTGGAGGGTTTTCGAGCATGAATGGACTGTTTAAGCATCTCGATCTGATTTAAGTCCGGACTTTGATTTGGCCACTCCAAAACCTTAATTAAGTTTTTCTTGAGCCATTCAGAGATGGACTTGCTGGTGTGTTTGGGATCATTGTCCTGCTGCATAACCCAAGTGCGCGTGAGCCATGCTTAGAGAACAAAGGGGTCGTAAACCCTCCGGCAATTGCCACCACCCGCTCGGAAATTTCCATCTCTCTCATTGGACAAGCCCATTCCGAAAGGCGGGGATCTTCTCCGACCTTAAAGGCCACACTCCAGGGACCCGCCCCAGTCGGTGGTTCGGTCAGATGCTAAGATGAAGATGTGAGAAAACGCTTCAGGATACCAAAGCATTGTGCCAGGCCTTTCTTCGGCCTTGTCCTTTCCATTTCAATCAAAATTCTCTGACTCAAAAGAATTCTGCAGAGAACTGACACCTGCTCAACGAGAGAAAGCACAGAACGGATGCAAAGAACCTCACAGAATGGTGCGACAGAAGGAAATCACCAGTATTCACAGAGGCTCTAACAGCTGCTAGACACCAAGCGCCGCTGGAAAAAGCCATCGGACAGGACTTGAAAAGAGAACTGTTTCACACAAGGTCACTCTTAAAAACAACATATGTGGAACTAAATGAGAGAGACACCAGATCTAAGGCCTTACAAGGCCAGCTGCATGCAGCCAGAGCTGAGGTCCAAACCCTGACTCAGCAATTAAAGAGGAGCTTGACACGGTTCAGAAAAATTTAAACAGTCCTACCGACTGCGCATAGACTTAAGCAAAAGACAGCCGGCTGAACATCACGTCGCCAGCAGTGCAAGCCCTCCACGCCTGTGCACAGCTACGAAAGGGGGGAAAGGGAGCCAAAGCCTTCTGCTTGACACTTCACAAGTCAGCTCCCTGAAAACCTCTGCAGCTGCAGAAA